AAATTGTTTTTCCAAGAAAGAAAAAAAAATCAATTCGTGTCTGTCCTACCAAAAAAAAAACCAATAGGATAAATAATCAATGTGTACATCACAATCTTTTCTTTTGATAAAAAATGTCAAAATCTAATACTAAAAAAAGAACCAAACAAACTCAACAAGAAGACATCGCTGGGTAAGTGTTTTAAGGATGTTGGTGGTGGTTATCGCTTGCCACTCGTCGTCACTCTAGTTAATATATATATATATATATTGATGCGCATTTACTCCTTTATTTTGCCAACTGATTTTTATTTTTATTTTTAAAAAAAAGATGCTCAAGCAAGCAAGCTTCCCGGGAAAAAAATGAGCAGGAGGAATATTACAAGTAAACGTTTTTCTTTTTTAAAGGTGGTGGTGGTTGTGTGCACTGTTTCTTGTTTATTACTTTCAATTTTTGTATTTACTTATTTTTTAGGAGTCGTGTTGATACTGTTGACAATGATGACAACAAAGATGAAGTATGAAAATGACTTTTTCATTAATTAACAACAATTTTCAATATTCTCACTAAATTTCTCTTAAATTTTCTTTTAGAGTCCATTAGTGATAAACTTTAGTGAAGTGCTAGACGAGGATCCATCTTTTGGTTCCGATATTAATAATGTACGTATTTTACTTATTTAATTATTTACACCAATAATAACAATAATAAAAACTATATAATATTATAATCAAAACAGGATTTAAAGATGATATATCCGGACCTTATTAAAATTTATAAAAAATCATCTGATTGGTAATGTTTTGGCATTACATTTATGTTACTTAACATAAAATATTACTAATGTTACTATTGTTTTATTATATTAATAATAGTGATTTAATCCATATGGCAATAATTGATTTGGAAGATGATAAAAAAATGAAACAATTCCATTTAAAAAAATTTCAAAAATGTTCAAAAAAAATATTATGAAATAATGAGATAAAATTAAATGATGGTGAGAAAATGTTGGATACCATCAAAGGCATAGAAAAAATTGAAGACACTATAGATTTTGTAACAAACTTCAGCTCAATGAGTAATTTAAAGTTAGATTATCAATCAACGATCAATGATTTTATATATTCCATTGTCAAAACTTTGTATGTCTAAAATTTTTATTATTTATTTTAGTAAAACATAAATGATCATTAATATAATTTTTTCTATTTAGTGCTGGCTATTTTGTTTTAAATGAAAATTATTTTAAAGAAATATTACCTGAATACCATCTAGGAGCAACAATACATGTTCAAATTTTTATGAATTTGTTTAGGGATAAAAACTATATAGTATGATACAATGAGTAAGCACTAGTTTCCAAATTTTAGATCTTATTTACAGTGTGTAATGAAAAAAATTGACCTCCGATGATGCAAAATTCAAAAGCATACAGTTTCACGAATAAGCAACAAAATCCCATCCAATTAAATCAAACAATCATACTAAACCCCTGTGTTGTAAAAACAAACTTTTTGAACCATCAATCTTAGTTTTGTCAACATAAAAAAATGTCATCAAACAAGCTCGATTTGCAACGTTCAACACTTCTTTATTATTGGAACCAAGGAATACATTCTCCAAAGGAACTTCACACAAAAACTAATATTCCCCTATCAACAGTCAAATATAATATTAAAAAAATAAAAGAAACCAGAGATGTTTCACATAAGGGAGGTAATGGCCGTATAAAAAAGATAGGATCAGCAATGACGCATGAGCTTGAGCAATACATTTGCAATGACAGTTCCACATCTTTGCAAACCCTGGCAATAAATTATCCAATAATGAAATTTCTGTATTGCATATGGCTGTAGCGAGAAGATTGAAAGAGCTTGGCTACAAAAATGCACTTCCAACTGGTACCCCAATGCTCACTGTTAATCACAAGGCAAGGCAAGTTGAATGGGCTAGGAATCACCTAAATGATAGTTGGGAAAGGACCTTGTTTTCTGACAAAACAGCCTTCCATCTGTTTAGGAACACAATAAAATGATGGTATAGGGGTCCAAAACCTATTCGGCCACTTCCTAAAGACCGACAAAAAGTCTTTGCCTGGGGTGGGTTTTGTGTTAAAGGGAAGACTAGCTTGTTTTGCTTCACTGAGATCATGAATGGAGAGTTTTATGTTGAATTTTGCGCCAGCACCTTCCAGAAATCCAAAGGATGCTTGGTAGGCGGTGGAGATTCCAACAAGACAATGACCCGAAGCACACTAGTCGGGTTGCCAAAAATTTCCTTGATGAGTACTTCCCTGAAGTTACCGATTGGCAGCTAACAGCCCAGACCTTAATCCCATAGAAAACTATGGAGTATTGTCAAACGTAATGTAGAAAGCGTATGCCAGCAAATATTAGCGAGTTGCGGCAGTATTTGGTCGAGTAATGGGAAAATTCCAAGTTCTATGTTGTCTAACTTTGCTTCATCAATGAATAATCGTTGCCAGATGATAATTGATAGCACGGCAAATGAATCAATTATTAATATATATATATCAATAAATTTCTTGTTTTTTAGGCTGTTAAACAAGCTATTGTATCCTCAATTTAAATAAATATTTATCGAATTATTATAAATAAACGGAGGTCAATTTTTTTTGTTACACACTGTATGTCCACATGTTAAAACTTATATCACATTCTGAGCATTTTAGACAATTGTATGATTGGTTTCTTTTGAAATATTCAGCATAAAGATTTGGAGACTAGAAAGAGACATGATAACAGTTTTGTAAATAATAAATCTTTACAGCAAATACACATTGTTTTATAATATTAATATTAGCCTCTACTAAAGAAACTTGCCGTAAATGTTTGGACTGGTAGCTGCCATTGCCATAAATAGCTGTTAGTAGCTACAATTTGCCGTAAATAATTACTGCTGCCGTAAAATAGATACAGTTGCCGCAAATAGCTACGGCTGACGCAAATAGAGACAGCTACCACAGGATATTAAAATATCTTGAATCACGCCCGATATGGTGAAGTGGTTTTGACCTCACTTCCTTAAATAAATTTAATAATTATTATTATTTAATATTAACAAATGGTCTTTTGGCGAATTACAAAATGGTTTTTTGAAAAATAGGCTTTTGGCGTGAATTGTAAAAAGATTTTTTGAATTGTAAAAATGGTCTTTTGGCGAATTGCAAAAAAAGACTTTTGACATTATCCTAATAAATCATTTAAATTGTAAAAGTTAGACAACATAGAACTTGGAATTTTCCCATTACTCGACCAAATACTGCCGCAACTCGCTAATATTTGCTGGCATACGCTTTCTACATTACGTTTGACAATACTCCATAGTTTTCTATGGGATTAAGGTCTGGGCTGTTAGCTGCCAATCGGTAACTTCAGGGAAGTACTCATCAAGGAAATTTTTGGCAACCCGACTAGTGTGCTTCGGGTCATTGTCTTGTTGGAATCTCCACCGCCTACCAAGCATCCTTTGGATTTCTGGAAGGTGCTGGCGCAAAATTCAACATAAAACTCTCCATTCATGATCTCAGT